TGTCTACGACTCTACGTAAACAAAAGAAAAGCTTTTCATTGCTTTTAGTGTATCTGTCCTTGGTGCTGATTGTTTTCCTTCTTTACTGTTCTGTATGTCCTTACTGCTGATTTTTTCGTTGCTAGTATTGCGCCTGTCCTTGGTGCTGATTGGCAGTGTTGTTGTTGTGCCTGTCTTTGCTGCTGAATGCTCGACAGGGCGCACCATCGAGGTATCTGTAGGGCTCAGGCACATTCGTTGAACAATGTGTTAACTACAGCAGCTCTGGACGGTAAAAATTGACAGTGCTGACAAGTAACATATTTAAAAGTGAAACATTTTGACGTGGGCTGAAACAGTTGTGAAACACCCCTTATACCTGACCAACTATTCGATGGCAGTTTTTTGTCAATTTTATGATAATACTATTCTTGCAACAGTCACACACAACCACATATACATATGATACTCTGCTGTGCTCCCTATGGTTCCTAGATGCCGTACATATTACTAGTATCTCGCACTTCAAATGCGTATTACCTGATTATATGTTTGCATGTGTTTCTATCGTGGCGATAGATATAGCACAGGCAAACGCGCGTATGTTTAATTCACAGGTACATAGATATGCTTGAAATGGCAAGACCAGAGGCTACAGGAGTTAAGGTGTTTTATAAATACTTGGTAAATCCTTGAATACGTCATAACAATGAACATCGACGTTTTGAAATGATCCCGCCAAGCGTCATGAGTCGCGTGACGTCCTTCCACGTGAAAGACTGAAGCACGAATGTAGTATAAAAAAAGACGGTCCCTTTCTCTGGACTCCTATTGGTCCATTCTGATGGTAACGCGCCATTGGTTGCTGGACAAGCCCCATAACTCCATCCGTACTCCGCAGCGCACTTACAGTTCTCTCCAGCGGCGCCAAGATGACGACCGATCCGAGCGTCGATTTCGTCACGGTCTTCAACGACACCAACCTCACGGTGACAACAACAACAAACGGCACGATGCCCGCCGCCGACCCCTACGGGCAACCCGAGGAGGTGTCCCGCGTCACGCTGTGGGTCCTTGCGGTGCTGATGCCCGTGGT